GTTTGAGCGCGCCGTTCACTGAGTTCCGTTCATCTTCGTCTTCTATTAGTTGCTGAATGCAATTCTATTTCAAAGGCCGAGCCACCCAGCGCCCTCCGGTTCCGTTCATCTCCATGGTTGGACCAAACCCAAACGGAAAGGGTAACGATCTCGTCTTCCTTATGCATTAGGGTTTTTACTAAGTTTCTTTTTTTTGCTTAGTTTGACTTCTGATTTCACATGCTTTTATTGTTTGTTATTTGAGGTTAAGGAAAAGGAACGAAAAGCTACCTTAACCCTTGGGGATGGAGAAGGAGGAACCGGAACTGGAGGCGTTGAGGCGGAGGCCCGGTGAAGGGATTGCGCGATGACAGCTTTCTTGATGTCCCTGGTATCTTTTATCTGGTTGCTATTTTTTTGCCTATAGTTTTGATGATGATTTTAACTGAAAAATCCTACCTTGAATTTGATTCACTTCTTTATTCTTTCTCTTCTACTACATGTTGCCTTTGAGTATTCGTATGCTTTCGAATTGTTGCCTAGCCTATGATGAAGCTTGCTTCTGAGGCCCTTGAATTGCCTTCTGAGATTGATGCCCTTGGAATGTATTTTGCTTATGATGAAAAGCTTCTGAGTTCACCTCTTTCCTCTTCTCTACTGCTCACGTTGCCTTTGGATGAACTTTCTCTCTTCTTCTTGAACACTGTATACTTGTTGCCACTGTACGCTTGTTTATGTTGCCCTGTGATGTTTATTCTGAGGGCCTAGGTTGCCTTGAACATTTGCTTCTGAGTATGCCCTTGATGCTTTTGTTGAGTTGGATGCCCTGAATATTTATTGCCTATGATGAAGGGATTCTGAGGCTTAGGAGTTGGTTTGAATGCTTGGATATGCTTGAGGGGTTATGTTTGGATATGCTTGAGGGGTTATGTTGGTTATGCTTGGCAGGCCTGTAGAGGCTTTTGTTCCTTCTTTTGAACTGTGTGGCGTTTAGTCTGGTTTTAGGATGGGTTTGAGGTGTTTGACAGGATGCTGACAATAGGTTTTAATATGGAGGTTATAGCTTCTTTTTCTTTTGCTGTATGTTCTGTATATTTGTATGTTTGTAGGTTTGTATGTTTGCTTGGCCTGGTGACTTAGGCTTCAACAGGTTGATGCTTGGTGTCCAGGTTTTGAACTGGTAACTTAGGCTTCAGTTTATGTGTTCTTTGGGTTAGGCAGACTGTAATGGTTCAAGCAGGGTTGTGGTGTTTCAGGTTATGGTAGTGCAGGTTCTGAGTTTGGCATTTTGAATGGTTTTTGTGCTTTTTATAAGTTTGATGCAGGTTTTCTTCTTAGTATGTATGATGCTGGTTTAGACTTTGTATGCTCTTCAGCAGGTTTTGCTTCTGGTCCGCTTGGTTAAAGCAGGTTCACAGTTTTGTATATTTTCTCTCTTGTGCTTTGGTGAGAGTTCTGCTGCCTCCTCCCTTTTGCTTGCTAAACTGTATTCTCTTTTGTATATCTTTTTCTTGTCTCTTCTGCCTAAACCTAAAGCCTGAAAACCTGCTTCTATTTCTCTTCTTTTTCTCTCTATGGTACAGTAGGACATTATAATATGATTTATGCTGTACTTTCTTTGTTCTGAAGGGGCCCCTTCTTGTTGGGAAATGATGATTTTTTGCTTGCATAACACATTACTTCTGCATACTTTATCCAGCTTTGACAGTTTGTGTGCTTTTTTGATATCTTTCCAAAATCTTCTATTGACAGCTTTTGAGTAGACTTTGGCATTTGATAGGAAGCGGGAATTGGATTTTTCAGTTTGGTTTGAATTTGAAGCTTGAGATTTTGAAATTATGCAGTTTGATATTCTATGCATTTTGATATTCTATGCATTTTGACATTTGCATTTTTTCAACTTTGCATAAAAATTCTCCCCTCTCTGTGAACCGGGAGAAATCCCGTGATTTGCAGAGAGGGTTAACTGATCCCAATCAGTGGCCCCTAATGATGAGCAAAGTTTATCTGTCTTTTTTAATTCAACTGCTTTCTGACTTTTCTTCCTTTTTTGCAGATGAATAATGGAGCACCGGAACGGAGTGAAGAATGAAGAGATTAGGAACTTAGGAAATGTTTAGAAAAAATAGGATAATTTTTATTTTCAATTTAATTATTTGTAAACCATTATTATTTTAAATACTTCGTAATAAATACTTGTATCCAAATAGTAATTGTAACAATTATTAAATATGAAATAAAAATTCCATTGATTCATTTAACTCTTTTCAATTCCTTTTCTTTAATTGTTTACTTGTTATTTATAATTCCTTAAATTAAATAAAATGAAAGTTTAAATTTCAAATATTTAATTCTTAGAACCATAAATAATCAACTAAACCTTGTTGATCAAAATAAATGAATTCGACGTCTCCATCATTCGAAGCAACACACAGTTGAACACAGAAACTGATCAGACGCAATCCTCTTTTTCACTGATTCTTTGCCAAGCACTGTAATTCCAAACTGCACACCTTCTTTGATTGGCTTAAACAAAACAACATGAATTCAACCCAACTGCCTCTTTTACTGATTAAATCAAGATAATGCGAATTTAACCCGAATCTCGGAATAAACTGCGACGCGCTGTAGAATTTTAATCTTTCTGAGAATATGCCCCCAAAACCTTAATTCCTGATTAAATGCCAAATAACGCTCGCCTGATCAAAATTGAATCAAAAATCATCCAAAACCCTAAGCCAACTGTGAAACAATCCAGAGCCCTGAAAATCAGTAAAAACCCTAATTTCGCTTGACTGACAAGAAAAGTCCGTTTGTCCGATTCTTGAGCCAGTTTAAAAATCAGGAAATGCTTGAAGCTGAGATTTCTTGGGGAAAAATGCGAGGGCAAATTTTGGGGTACAACAACATAGATGCTACCTAAAAATATGTTGTGTATTTACAGGAAACTCTGATGGAATCAGCATCAAAATATCAGAATATCAACATCAGAAGATCAGTACTTGTGCTTACGCTGAAGTCTGATGAACAAGATCTGCGCTCAACATACCCTGATTCTGATCAAGATCCTAACAATGTCATCAGCACTCAAAAGCATTCAGAATAAGCTAAAGCCACCACACTCTGATCTTAATCAAGCAGAACATTCTGAAGTGTTAACGTTACTGCATTCAAGGCAGATTAATTACCAACGACTTTATTCTAAGACAAAGATCTTCTCAATATGGAAAGAACGTAATGAGCATTGAAATGGAATTATTGGCATCAACGTATCTATTCCAAGAACTATTTAAACAAATCAGTGAGAAGTGAAATGGCTAATGCTCTACAATACTCTACACGCCTAAGTCAATCATCTTCATCCTCACTCATACAGTTTGCTAAAGCTCTCAAATTGCTTACTCTATAGTTCTAGCATTCTAGTTTCACATAAGCTTTTTGTGTATTATCACAGTTGTGATATATAGTTTTTGTAGAAAATATCAAACACACATAATAGTTCATTTATCTGTAAGAAAGAATTTCCTTGAGAAACCGGTCTGTGGTTTAGACTCAAGAAGGCTTTAGCAGTTGTTAAAGCAGTTTTGTATTCAGTTGAATATAGTGGATTAAGACCTCGTTGGAGAGAGGCGAAATCACCTTGACGGGTGGACTGGAGTAGTTTGAGATCAAACGAACCAGGATAAAAATAACGTGTTGTCTGCATTTGATTTCAAGTTTCTACAATTCAACCCCCCTTCTTGTGTTTTTCACTTCTTCAATTTTGATTGCCCACCTGTCCAAAAACCAAATCAAATCATATCTTTGCTATTATTCATCAATTATTTGATTTAATTCAATTTTTAATTAATAAAAAATCAAAATAAATTGAAAAATGAAGCAAATAATGCGTGGATGAATATTTGAGTCGTGGACCACATTATAAGTGAGGTGCAAATATAAAAAGTTAGGCCCATTTAGCAAAAAATACATTTTTGAGCACATTTGACTTTTGGCAATTTTGCAAAAAATGTCAACTTTGACAAGGCATATCTCCTCCAATTTTAACCCTAGAGAGGTGTTCTTGGACTTTTTAGAAAGCTTAGGATTTCCCCTAAGCAGCCCTTTTAGTCTCATCTCAATTGAGTCTTTCATATTCAGGTAAGAAGCTTTGACCCAAAAGGTGTTTTTGTTGACTTTTCAAAAGGACCCATAATATAGAAATTCATATCTTTTTGTGGGTGCATATTTTTAACTTGTGGGCTGAAGATGAATTGTAGGGAATTGCATCCTCTTCAAAATAAGTTTTGGATGAAAAATTTCTGATGAAGCACATGGAAGTTATGCTTGGTCAAAGTTGGGTTGACTTTTACTAAGAAACCCTAATTTAACAACTTTTGGGTTTTGATGAATTTGGAGCATTTCTTGAGGAATCATGATCAAACCTTGATAAAATGATGGATATAACTTCAAAATGTTGATGTTGAACAAAAATCTTGAAGTTTGACTGTATGTGGGCCACAATTGACTTTTGACCTAATACAGTCGATTCTCAAGCATCTGAGCAGTTGACTGAGGAAACTTCTTGTGCAAGGAATGAAACTTGACATGTAAGGTCTTGAGAACATATTAGGACCATGGAGAACATATGAGGCCTTTTTGGTTCACCCATCTTGATGAAAATGGAAACCCTAATTTGAGATACACTGCCTTAGGAGAGAGTTTGTCTGGTCAACTCTTAGGCAACCTTGAGCAAATTGAGGATCTCAATGGACATGTATTGAGTAAAATGAGAAGGAAAATTTTGGGGTACAACAGCTACGCCTGCAGGACCTCTCATGGGATATACATTGATTAAAAGGGTTCATTTGTTGGGCATAAAATTGTTTTTGCCAATTTTCATGACTACTAGTACAATGAAGATGGAATATGGCTTCTGGAATTTAAATTCATCTTCGACACTTGATATTACTATGTTTGTTTTCTTTAGTGGTTATTTTGTCAAAATGGTAGCATGTTATCTACCTTCAGTCTTTTTCAAAATGCCTTTGAAAGATGGTATCTCTCTTTCTCTACTTTTAAACTGCAAAGGTGTTGTGGAAGTAACCATGTACTCTACTGCATTGGACAGAAATGTAAGTACTTCAATTTGACAGAAATTCTTCTTTTTATCTTTACATCGATGCATAATGTATACTTCTATGTCAATGCAGGATATTCATCTGAAAACGTATGGTGTGGTTATGATATTTCTAATGATTTCAATTTGTCTAACTCACTTGTCGGTAAAACGTCTGTATGATCCTTCAAGGAAATATGCTGGCTACCAAAAAAGGAACCTATTTAATATGAAACTCAACTCAGAACTGAAGATACTAGTTTGCATTCATAAACAACACCATGTAACTTCTATTATAAGATTTATTGATCTATGTTACCCTATAGTAAAAGATCCTGTTATCGTAGACGCGTTGCATTTAATTGAATTAGCCGGAAGGTCCTCACCAATTTTCATTTCTCACAAGAAGAAGAAAGTTGTTGCTTTAAACTTGCAAGACTCTTATTCTGACAGTGTTGTGTTTAGTCTCAAACTATTTGAACATGATAAACAAGGTGCAGCAATTGTAAACCCTTACACAGCAATATCTCCAGTTAACTTAATGCATGAAGACAAATCTAGAATGGGAAATGTAAAACTTAGAGGAATAAAAGTGGATGGTGGATCACAAACACTTCATGTTCTTCGTGAAATGGTAGATGAACATGATTATATTATAGTTGGGAGAAGACATGGAATTGATTCTCATCAGACTTATGGGCTTCAAGATTGGAGTGAGTTTCCTGAATTGGGTCCTGTTGGAGATAATTTGGCTTCCTCGGATCTTAATTGCAAAGCATCAATTTTAGTGGTGCAACAACAAATATGCCTATAGTTGTAGGTATATATTGGTTACATGAAAAGAATGAGTCACTCTTTTTGTTATGTAATTTCTTTAATTTATAGTGATGATCGTGTTATATTTTATATCAAATTGTCAATTTTTTTGTTGGTTATTTATTCTGTGTTTTGTTGTTAAAATAGTGAGATAAAATTTCTATTCTAACAATATATTTTTTATAATCGACTCATATGTAGTTATTATAGAATTTGTTTAACTATTTCTTTCAAACTAGTCTACTTTAAAAAAAGCAGCTCCATGACTTACTATAATTTTAAACTTATTATAAGAGATTAAAAAACAATATATTTTCAAGTTCATAAAAACATCTCCTTATTTTTTAATCAAGGGTTTCTCAATCCTCTTAGATGTTTTAAAAAATCTTTCAATTTCCATAATAATAAATCATCATATTATCTCTCTTTGTCTCTTTAAATTTTTCTTTTCTAAAAACTTCCACAATGACAAACATATCGAAAAAATAGTTGAAAAACGTCTTTTATATACACCAGGTGAAACATGTTGCGTTACTGTGTAAAATGTGGGACGCGGTGCATTCTTATGAATCTTTCTTTTGAGATTTTGAAACCAATCGCCAGAATTCTCTCCACTTCTACTTTAAAACTAGCAGTGATGCCAATTACCACTCAAGCACATTGATGCTTTCTCCAAAACTCGAATCACTCTTCAACAAACTTGATCAAGTTCAAGCACCGCTTGAACCTTAATCTAGATAATAATTTGGTGAACACATGCTCCAAATTTTCTTCGAATCCACATTCATAGCTACAATCTTCCTTAACTTAATTATGTCTTTTATGAAGTGCAAATGAATGTCAATGTGTTTTTCCCTTTCATGATTCATTTGATGATTCACCAAATGAATAGTATTTTAAATACCACAATGTATTCTTCATACATTCTTGAGGATCCTTAACTTTCCAATCATGTCTCTCAATGACATGGCTTTCTTGCCCCATTCAACAAGGACATATATACTTTGTTTGAGTAGTAGATAATGCAATAATTGGTTGTTGAGTTACCTCTCAGATTATAGTTTTTCCAAATAACGTGAACACAAAATTTGATAAGGATTTTTTGTGTTCACATTTCTCCTATAGTTTGCATCCATAAAACCTTCTAATTTGTCTTGCTCTTGAGCTAATTCAAGTCATCCTTTGATCAACCATTCAAATACCTCAACATCCACTTTAAAGCTTCTCATTAAACTAAGCTAGGATTGGCCACAAACTAACTTACTATGCTAACTACATATGCCTAGTCTAAATTACTACAAACCATATTGTTGTACCCCAAAATTTGCCCTCTCATGTTTTTCAAGATCTTCTCTTGCCTGGGTGGTTACAAACACTTGCTTAAAGAAAATAATTTTTTTTGAAGATGGTTAAGTGTCTTTAGATTGACACCTAAACAAGGTACTTCGATTAGGCATCTAAAATCCTTCGATGCAAGCTTGGCTCAGCAGTCTTCAATTGGGCATTTGGCCTCCTTTGATGCAGGCCTGATTCATAAGCTTCGATTGGGCGCTGGGCCCCCTTCGATCAAGTTCAATCCACAAGGCTTCGACTGCACATTGGCTGCTTCAAGTTTGCCTTCGATTTACAAGGCAAGAACCCCCTACAAGTTTGCTTCGATTCACCAGCAGTGGCCTCCTACATGTTTATTTTGATTCACAAAGCAGTGACCTCCTGCATGCAAGCTTCGACAAGGCAAATGCCTCTTCAGACTTGCCTTCGATCCACAAGGCAAAGGTCTCTTCATGCTTGCCTTTGATCCACTAGGCGAAAGGCCTCTTCATGCTTGCCTTTGATCCACTAGGCAAAAGTTTCCTCATGCTTTCCTTGGATTCACAGGGCAAAGGCTTCCTCAGACTTGCCTTCGATCCACAAGGAAAAAGGCTTCTTTAGACTTGCCTTCGATCCACTAGGAAAAAAGCTTCTTTCATGTGTGCTTCGACCCACAAGGAAATTACTTCCTCTGTGCGTGCCTTCAGCGCACATGGAAAAGGCCCCTCAACATTACTTCGATCCACAAGGCAAAAGGTCCCCTCAACTTGCCTTCAATCCACAAGGCAAAAAGCCCCTTTCAACTGACCTTCAATTCACAAAGCAATGGCTATCTACATGTAAGATTCGACAAGTCAATGTCTATCTTCAAGCCTACTCTGACTCCACCTCTAAAAACCTTCAACACACAGTTTTTCATACTTCGACACACATGATGGTCCCTTCCAAAAGAAGCATTCATATGTTCCATTCGAAGAAGCATTCAAAGGCTCATTCGAAGGACACACAAATGGTCCTTCGAAGGACATACATTTGGTCCAATCGAAGGATACACAAATGGCGCCTTCGAAGGACATACATTTGGTCCATTCGAAGGACACACAAATGGTGCATTCGAAGGACATACATTTGATCCATTCAAAGGATACACAAATGGTGCCTTCGAAGGACATACATTTGGTCCATTCTAAGGATACACAAATTGTGCCTTCGAAGGACATACATTTGGTCCATTCAAAGGACACACAAATGGTGCCTTCAAAAGACATGCATGTGGGGCATTCGAAAGAGCCAGGGGGCAAAATATGTCCAGATTTACTCGAGATTTCAAAATGGCAAGAATTATCCAAATATGGCCAACTTTAAATATGTTGGATTTTTATCTCATGGTCTTAAAAGCCTTTGTCTCTTGCCATACTTGCGCTCCTCACACCCCTATAAATACAATACTAAGGGCACATTTCCAAGAGGATGGAAGAAAGAGAAACAAAAAAAGGAAATGAAACACTTGCCACAGAAATATTCTTGCAGAGATGTTGCCATCAAAAGAGGAGACATACTGCATCACATAGAGTATCAATCGAAGCTGCAGGCGCATTTTTAAACGAAAGCCTTTTTGCCACACACGCACGTTTCCCCATAAGAACTCTATAAAACTTCCAAAGTTCCAACAAGGTTATCGGAATTGAAGCACCCCACTGGTAACAAACCTTCGATCTTCATTTCATTTCACATGTAATTTAATTTTCATTGTATATTCATGCTGCATAACATTTATGATGGTTAGCGTGTTGCATGTGAAGTCTAAAATGACAGGGTACCTTTACTAAGGCATGTGAAATTGATTCCTTCGAATCTTAAATCCAGCTCAGATGGTGAAGAAAGATGTGTGCAGTTGAAAGGACCTGGGTTCGATACCCAGGCTTTGCAATGTTATTCTTTTTTCTAACATTTTATGCAGATTCAACGCATGCTCACCGTACACCATGAAGTCCAGGCCATCAGATGCACAACTGATCTGGATCTAACCCCCTGAGCCCACAACCTCACCATAGGCCCTCCTGAGGATCTCAACACCAGATCCAATGCCAGCCTGGGCCATCTCCTGATTTGGGCCTAACAAAACCCAATTCACACCCCCTTTTTTCCATTCATTGTCTGACCCATTTGCACTTTTATTTTGTTTTTTTGTTTTATTTCTTTTAATTGCTTTATTTTTTATTTAATTGACATTAAATCAAAAAACATCATAAAAAAATTAAGTTAGTATTTTTTAATCAAATTAATTTTGAAAATTAATTAATTAATTGTTTTAACTTTTTCTTTAATTTAAAACTAAATAGACTTAGGATTTTAATTAAATCATTTTCCCAAAATAAAAACAAACAAAAAAGAATTTTTATACCTTAGGAATTTTTAGACGTTCTTTTCCATTTTGTGCGCGTTTACATTCATATTATTGTATCTGTCTACTGGATGTAATAGAATTAATTAGGACTTTTATTACTTTATTTATTTCCCCCCCAAATTTTGGACTATGTAATTAATCCCCCTCCCGAAGCTTTGTAATAGCGTAGGATTTACAGTTTCCGCACTTTAAATTTCTGCAAAATATTAATTGTTTAGATGCATGTTAACTAGGGATGTACGGCAAGAATAAAACAAAATGCTAGCAAACCTAATGCAAAAGACAAAAAGATAACTGAAACAAACACACTTGCACATATACACCTCTAGGATACTCCCACTTTGGTTGCCCTTCCGGAAAAATAGTTACAACTCTCGAAACGTGAGAGATTTTAGTGGCTACCCTTTGGTTTAAAAAGATCATAAGTCCCTCGATGACCCTCTCGATGTTGCCTCGATACACAATGATCTTAAAACCCTAGGATAGTTACTAAAACTTCTTGCCAAGTTGCCTTCGTGACTATAAAACGTCCCTTCGAATGTCCCTCAAACATCCAAATGACTAGGGCTACCTACTCACTAATAGTAGGATAACATTGTCTAAAGTAAAGGAGGAAAAGGACGACCCTTTCGAGTAGAGTAGATAGTTCCTAGATGTTATGCTCAAAAACAAACTTTTTACACCTACACAAAAACATTTCAAAAACGTTTACAAAAAAATGCTTTATCAACACTCTTGAGGACTGATACAAGAGTTATCATAAAGTGAATCGCCGCACTAAGGCATTTCAAAATACTTTTCAAAAACACAAAGCACAAGGTATTTAAAAAAATGAGCTAAGCATCTAAGGGTCCGTAGAAAAATACGGATGGAAAGGGTGCTAACACCTTCCCTTTCCATAATCTACCCCCCTTACTCACAAAACTCTCGAAAAAATCTTTTCTGTTCTTTTCACCCTTTCCTTTGTTGAATAAAAGAAAAGTCAGTGGCGACTCTTGCTTACTACAACATTTGCAAACAAAAATGAAAAACCAGTATTAAACAGTCGGTTTTGCCACCGTATCACACATACCATACACGATACTTCACCCCACTGGCATAGGTAGTACTCTTTGTCATATTTTCTTCTTTGGTTTGAGGACATTGCATAACCAAAAATTTCGTGTGATAGCCCAAAGGAGTGTTGAGATTTTTAACATCTTACATTATGAAATTCTCCACCATTTTTTTCAAGTAATCATATTGAGATAAGAGCAATTCACTCTTTTTAATTTCACCAA